TAAGAAATGCTTAAATTATAAGACATTTAAATCAATTACTTATTAAATTATGATGTTTTAAAGAAATTTGTAAAAAATAAAATTTTCCGTGAAAATGTAAAAATTGACGGAAAACAGAAACCGCCGCCCAATATAGGCTCACATATGGTCGGCATTTGGGTCTACCATTTACCGCATGGACAGGGCTTCAATGGGGTACGGTTTTCAAATGGATACGGTTTAGTCATTCTCAAAAAAATATTATATTTTTAAAATTAATTAAAGCAATTACATAATATCATATATTAATTATTTAACAGTTAAGTTGTCTAATAATTAATTTATTAAAAATTTATTAAAAAAATGAATTTATAATTAAATAATATCTACTATTTATCTAGTGTTTTATGAATTGTAATAAATTTGTCTGATTCTAAATCTAAAATTTAGAATAAATTAAAAACGCAAATAAAACATTAATATAGTTAATCATATTTATTTTTAAATATTTTATTGCGTCACTCAAAATATAAAATCAGCTGGTAGTTTATTATAAAGTTAGTTATCAATTAATTTAAGTTAGGTAAAAATTATTTAAAAAATTAATATTTGAAACTTAATTTAAAATTAATAAAATTTTTATTTAAAGTATGATATCACTATTTGTTTTAATCAAACTTATATAGATATTAAATATTCAACAAAAGCGCAAACATATAAAATAAAACTATTGAATTAAATAATTTAAAATTACAACATTTAAAATCAAATATTAAGAACAATTTTTTTAATAATAAGAATCCCAATTAATATGGTCAAAGTATTATTTTTTCATTATAGAATATTTATCATATAGATATTCGCCGATTCCTGGGCCCACTCGCTTCAATCGTGTCACGTGATCACCCAATTCCTTGAGATCGCGAATCTGTTCTCTCAAAAAGTTGACTAAAAAGCCGCTATAATCGGAATCCTTGACACTATCGGCCAATTCGTTCTGTTTGAGTAGAGCCTGAGTTATACCCGTTTCCACTGATATAGTCTTCGCCATTGCCTCCAGTGGTGTCCAGCCGTCCTGTTTTGGATACGTTTGAATGTCGCTCAGTATAACACGACCGCCACGTTTGGTCTGGTATTCCATGAAATTTCTAGCAATGATTATCTGCTGGTCAC